GTCAAAAAAAGTCAACCACTCGAAAAAAAAAAAAACGAAAAAAACAAAAAAAACAGTCAAAAAAGTCAAAACAATAACATAAAAAGTAACTAAGAAAAGTCGAACAACAAATAAAACAAACTCTAAAAAGTCGGATCTGGGCAAATTTTCTGAAATTTTATGAAGTGACTTTTTTTGACTTTGACCTTTGGGATTGACTTTTTTTGACTTTAACAAACAACACATAGAAAACAGGCTCTTTCCAATGACAGTGTTTTTTTTTTTAATATAAATTCGTATATATATATATGTAACATAACATATGATACATATTTATCTATCGGGACGGTATCCCCGATCTGATCCATGGTAAAGAAAAACACGATGGTCATCCCAATGTCAAAAGTCTGGACGCCGGTCGCCATTTGTGAAGTCTCACCACCGCTGGTTCCTTCGGCAATCTGAGCATCTATTTTGCTGATGGGGAGAGTCTAACACAGGTGCCAGACTCTTTGTTCAATCACTAGAGTCGCTAGAGTTAGTCTACCTTTGGGACAACATAGAAAACATACACCTCCAGAAAGAAGCATCGAACACCGGGGTCAATCGACCCTTTTTCCTCTACGAAGTGGTTTAGGATCCACATGTCATTGAGCGCTCACGAGTGTGTTCCCGTCACGAGTTTTCCACCAATGTGACCAGTCACAGTGACTTGGTTGACTGTTTCCGCTTCTTTTGCGACAACAGATTTGTCCGTTCGCATGATTTGTTTCCACAGCTAGTCACTAAGTCCGGTACATCTACTAGCAAGAAGCTACTAGTAACAAGGACATCGCTACTAGGGAGAGCATATAGTCAATTTAAGTAGCATCTTGCTTGGCTGGGGAGGTACCTCGCTTTCTCTCCAGGAGCTTTCTGTGGTCCGCGTATGAAGGGAAGTCTCAGCAAGTAAGTGAAGGGCATTGGTGGAAACGTTGATTCTTTTGTTTTTAGGGTCAAACACGAGACTTCCAAACTGGACCTTTGATGCGTTTCAACTGTGTGTTTCTTTGCAGCACAGTTTGCTGGTCAGAAAGCCATCGTTTTGACATGCTTGAAAATCGTTGCTTTTGTGCGGTTCGGGATGTTTGAAGCACAGATTCGAGCATCGAGGACACTGTTTGAGAGCAGAATATTCCACACAGTAAAGGTTTCAAGGGAGCATCGAGCAGACAAACAGAACTTAAACAAACAAGGGCACCAAGAAGACAAGATGCATCCCTGTTCCTGTGACATCCGGTTTTGGATGGACATCTTGGGATTGGACATCCAATCAGTAGGGAGTGATCACAAGATTCATGACACCCTGCAGTGCCGACACCAGGGTCACTTCAGACTGCAGAAAGGTCGGTTTCTGTGCCGATTCATTTGGACAAAGCAGGAGGCAGTCGCATGATATGTGCATACAGCGTCATACAGCCATCTGTACATTTCCAGACAGGTGCGGTGACACAACTACTAGTAACAAGGGCATCGCTACTAGTAGCTTCTAGCTACTAGTAGTGATGCCCTTGTTCCTAGTAGCGATGCCCTTGTTACTAGTAGCTTCTACGGGGCTATTTTTGGGATGCCCACGGCCAGGGCGGCCAGGGCTGCGTGCTTCACCACGCTGCTATACCTCGGCCTGGGGAGGTGTCGCTGCCACGGCGGAACCTCTTCGATGAACCGGAGACCGCGCCGGAAGCAGCTCCGGTGGACCAGGAGAAGGTCACCGCGGGAGGAAGTCGGCCAAGCTGTTGGGATTGGAAGATCACCGCAGATCTGTCCAAGGCCTCAACTCACTTTGATCCACTTTGTATGACGCGTGAGTGTTTTGCTTGAATTATTCATAATTATTCCAAAGCTGCAAAATAGGATATTTTTTGGGCTTGGCACTGAACCAGAGTGATCAATCATTTCGGTGATCACTTCAATTGATTAAGATTTGGGTGCGGCTTCTCAGTTGGGGATTGGATTGTTTTGGGAGTCTGAAGAGGGTGTCATCAAGCAGGTTCCAACCCTGCTTAATTCATGTCTATTAGTCACCAGTCCTAGCTTTAGTAAGTTTGGTCACCTCCTCCAGTTGTTGTTGTCGTCGTTGTGGTTGTCGTGGTTGTGGTTGTGGTTGTGGTGGTGGTGGTGGTTGTGGTGGTGGTTGTGGTTGTGGTTGTGGTTGTGGTTGTGGTTGTGGTTGTTCTTGTTGTTGTTGTTGTTGTTGTTGTTGTTGTTGTTGTTGTTTGTACACTTTGGTATAATATATCCATAATATATATATATAATGAAGTGAAGTTTAAATCTGTTCTAATGCAATATATATATATATGTTCTACCAAAATTTCCAACACTACTCAAAGATAGATGAGGCGCCTCATCCCAGCATGAGCCCCATATCATCAGAGTAGAATTGTATCCCTGGATGCTTGGAAATGTTATGTAGAAACCTCGTCCTAATAACATCCGCAATGCAGCAAACTTGAAATTAACATGAACACTATTGCCTTCTACTTGCTAAAGATCAATTCCATGAAACAATAGCAAAGCATAAGAAAATCAAGCCTTGCAACACAAATTAAATCGGAAGGGTGAAAAGAGTTTTGCCACCCTTAGATTAGAATTGGATCCTAGCAAATGCAATGTCCTTCACTTGAGCCCCAGCACCCCAGCACAAAATTGTGGATGTCACTGTCCTGCAATCCTGCATGATTAACATAACGACATCCTTGGCTTACCAATTCAGTTCCCCAATACAAACCTGTTTGGCTGCCAAACTTTGGCACGGGCCTTTCAGGATCTACTCCTCTTGTTTATAGGTTTACTTCTTTATGCAAAAAGTGATACACATGGTCTTTAATGTGTTTTGGTTGCAAACGTATTCTTTTGCAAACAGTTTTTTCACAGTAGAGTCTTCATCTTTGCAAGAGTCCTAGGTACCCAGGGGTACACTTTGGTTTGATGTAACCATATCATATATACCATACCAAATCATATCCAATACCAAAGCGATGTTTGCAGGTTCTCAACTTGGTTCATCGGTTTTGGCCAGGTGGAGAGCATGGCCGATGCTGTCCTCGAAAAGATCAGTGCCTCGGGCGGACGGATGGTGCACGACACGAATTGACTGGTGTTGTTTCTTCAAGACGCCGAGTAGGTTTGTAGAAATAGCTGTTTCAGTTGGGCGTTTATTTTAGTGGTCTCCCAAATACCTGAGTTGGAGTTTGCAAACATGTTCGCCCAACACCAGTGGATCCTTTCTTCTGTTGTGGTGATGGTTTTTCAAGCCACGGATCAGAGGGTTTTGGACTCCTGGGATCGCGGTTTTAATCCACTATGGGAAGATCCCAGGTGAAGTGCACAGATTGAAAATGGTGGAAGTGTTGAAACCAATGTACAAAAAAATGTAAAATAGACCGACAGAGAAACTCATTGATGTTGTGAGACTGTAGATACGCCGATACGAATGGCGCTAACAACTAATCTCGTGTTATTTTTAGGCGCGCAACTGCGGTGTCCGGTCGTTTGCACAGCGAAAATGGGACATGACATTGTGATAGCTGGGACATGAACATCAACTACTCAGCCGCACTCACGGAGCAGTCCTTTGGGTTTTGGATAGCTGCACCTGGTCCGAAGTTGCCCAAATCTTTATAGGGTCAACGAAAGGAATATGGGCTCCGTTAGCAGGGGCAGGGTGAAACCCGAAGGTCCAAGCGTGTTTGGGGGGGATTGGAGACCCTGGATCCCAAAAGTGGGAGCTGGACCATGCGAAACTCCTTGTGTGCGTGGTACTCATTCTCCTGACAGGTCGTTTACTATATACTTGTGTCTAACCTCCAATCAAAAAGTTGTCTATGGCTTTGAGCCATGTACTTTGTGGTAGTTTCATGGTGAAACCACTTGCCAGAGCAAAATTGATTGTTCAAAGCTGTTAGTTAGAGGCTATGATTCATGCTCATTTGGATGTTGGATGAGTTGCGGAGGGTATGTTTTTGTGTTGTCCACTTTTTTGATCAGAACTGTTTGAGACCGTACACGAAGCATTCCCAGCACGGTCAAGTGTAACCGTTGCGCAACATGCAAGTATGCTCAGTTTATCAGCTTTGACTATGCTCATGGCCCGGCTCATGCCTACACCATGCAAAAGATGGATCACGTGAAGCATCCACCTTGGAACCCAGGTGGGGTGGACCCCAAAATTGTCCCACCAAACGTGCACATAAGCATTTGAGAGCCAGCTGATCATTATGGTCACACATGGTCATACCTCGCACTTCAATGGTCTTTATTGGCTGCATGTATTCGAATTTACCAAAGTCCATCCGTCTTGAGTTCCTTCTGATGCGTGCTCGGTACTTTCTACATCCAATCCCACCCTAATCATGATCTTATGTCTCAGCTTTGTGCTGAGATTCATTTTGTGATGCTATCCCTCGCTCACCGCTTTGAAAAATCCTTTTGATTTTGGCCCCAAACACTTTGACACAAGTCGACCCAACGTCTCCCCTGACCTAAACTGCAAACTTCTCTCCAGTCGCTACTGAGGGCGGAACTATTCAAATTTGCAGATGGCATTCAGGGCGCTGGACTGGGGGTAGTCAGTGAAAGACTGCAGTCATGGTGTACTTTGGAATTAAGGGCTTGCTGCATGCGTTTGCGTGCGGAAAGCCATATATTTATTGTCGGATAGTTGTTTGAACTCAAGCCTTGAGGAGACTCATAATATTAGCAAGGATATATGCAGAATATTATGTGGATAATATATAAATAACCATATATACTACACATAGGATGATATGGGCAAGCGGAAGTTGCACGATGTTTGACTTATATATGAGGGGACCAATCTCCTGAACCTGCAGATCTGTCGAATCTTTGCTGTCCAACTCAAGTGATCCAACAACACGGACGACGGACACTTCGGAACACCCGACCACCTCTCTTGCTTCGACCTTTTGAGACAATAGTAGCTTCTTGTTACTACTAGTACGGCACTTGTTACTACTAGCGATGCACTTGTTTCTAGTAGCTTCTTGTTACTACTAGTAAGGCACTTGTTACTACTAGCGATGCACTTGTTTCTAATAGCTTCTTGTTCCTAGTGAGGACCGAAGCAACAACGGCTACATCTCCAGGGTGGATTTTCTGGATGCCATGAGCCCCAGTCGTTCGTCCTCGCCCACGGCACCTGCAGGGGAAGAGGGCCGCAGGAAACTCGCGCTGGTGCAACATGGCACCCATACAATTTGGACTGGATGAAAACACTGTATACCCCAAGCTATGGTTGGTGGTGGTGGTCGTAGTAGTAGTAGTAGGAGGAGGAGGAGGAGGAGCAGCAGCAGCAGCAGCAGCTTGTGCCAACGCATGGAAATAGTAAAAACAGCAGTTGTGTGCAAAAACATAACTTTGTCACTACAGTTTTATGTGTTCATATGTGTTCATTATGTTATCATGCAGCATTAATTCTTCTATGTTCATTCTATTATCACAATATCCTTGATCTCACAACATGCCTCATCCATCTCAGCACGTTTAACATCAAATGACCACATATATGCGCTTACTGTAAAAGGAGAGGAGGGAGTGGGGGGATATTGTAGAGCTTCGCCAACCGGCAATGCCATAAGGGTTGTTGTCCCTGTTGTTGGTCATTGGTTTTGTTGCCTTGCGCGTGTGCGCGCAGGCAAAGGCGATGACACTCGTCAGAAAAAAGAAAAAACAAACGGTATTTAATTGATCTTAGTTGTTTTTGCATTAGGGACTCCAAAAAACAGTACATATGAATGTTGTGTAAATCCCCAGCAAGCAAACGTTGTAATTTTCAACGTCTTGTTCGGCTGTGGGATGCAAAAACCACGGCCTTTGCAGTGTTTCTTATGATTATATGATGTTTGCTGCTACAAATGTCGATATTTATGCGGTTTTGAACACGCTGCTAACATGTTCATTCAACAATAGCAAAACTTTTCATTTGCAATGCTTTCTATTTGTTTATATAAATATATACGTTTTTAACATCGCACGGTTTGATCCATTATAGTATTGACCGCAGGAAACAACTCAAAGTAGCTTATGAGGCCAAGGCTGATATTGGCTTTTGATTACGGAACAAATTTTGAGTGACGTGGTCCAGAGTCCAGAGGCCCAAAAAGTTAAACTGTGAATTCTTATTGGTGTTATATCTTTCTGCTGGAGGATTGGTGATAAAGTTGGTGATGCAGAAGATACGGGTAGGTATAGCAAGCTAGCTTGACTATGCTATCGAATATGTCATCGCCGGATTTAGGGGGTTGACGCCAGTGGCCTCCGACCCCTGAGAAAGCTCAGAGAGGGTTCGCAGCCGCGGGGGAGCATGTTTTATGTGTTGAGTCAGGAAGAGGTTGGCATGGCACGCTGGGTTCACGAGTCGCCTTGCCGGGGAGGTGAGTAAGGTTGGAACCTCTTCTTTCACCTCGCAACTGTAGCTTGCCTGGGTTCCAAAGCTTTTGAGCGCTAATGCAACGAACCTGGTACAGACCGTGGTTTTTGGCTTACAGAGGTTAGAGACAATTGGTGTTCTTACAGTGGTTTTGGTTGCTGTACTACTGTAGACAAATTGGTAAATACCATTGGTTCAAAAACATCGGTATTACAGTTCTTGTTGGCTACTCATACGTAAATAGTTGGCAAACCAATTGTATGCATAGGTCCCGCGCACGATTCTAGAATGCCTAAAGTCGCCAAAGGCCTTGGAGCACATCTTCATCAACTCAGGATGCACACCTGAGGAGCAGCACGTCAAGTGCAACGATGGCGGATGTTTGATCTGCTTAGAATGTTTGAGAGTGGCAGGGGCACCAGCAGCTCCAGAAGAAAACATACTCTACAGCAATCCTGTCTGGCTATGTCTGAAGTAGCATGAAACAATTCTTTAGAGAAAGGTTCTCAAAAGGATCGCCATGGTATTCACCGACTCACTTTGTTTGAGATGTTGATACGGCAATCCAGATGAACAGTGATACTGGCAACACTAAGAATCAATAAACTATAGTGAATAGTTGTATTAGTTGTGTATGGCATGCTGTGGGGTCTCACAGACCCCTTGGTAGTTCTCCAGAACGACAGAATGTCAATGTAGTTCAAAGATGTGCAATGAGATTCTATGTTTTTGCATAGAGTACAGGAGATCGACTTGTGCACTCCAAACCACATCAATTGCGCTCGAGTGAATGACTAATGAACGTTCCAGCGCGGTGTTTGTTCCCCCAAAAACGACCGACCATGTCCACGCTCAGAATCATGTGGAGTCTGTGGAATGACTCAAAGTGACCAAACCTCGCTCCACATGGATTCATTGTTTAAGCTGTTTCCATTTAGTTTTAATATGTGTTTTTACGAGTAGCATGATTCAACATATGTTTTCCATTTTACATGTTGATTTTTGTTTCATGGTTCTACCCAGGTTGCTTTGCTTGTTGTAGTTTCCCTATCTTATTTCAGACTCTTTTTTGGAGATGTTGTTATAGATTGGTCTCACCTTGAGGAAAACTCCCTTTGTTCTTCTCCTGGGACGATCCTTTGATAAAAGCTCCAGAAACAATGATTTGCCTTTGAGCACATTCACATTGACTTTTCCATACGACGGGCCGTTTTACATCAGGTTCCTCATGGTTTTTGTAATCGTTACTATGTCCTCACAACACCAATTATGTTCCCTAAGAATCCGTGGGTCCTCCGCAGGGGTCGGACCCTCCGTAGCAGGGGGTTTGGACCCGCAAAACCGTGTTTGAGGGCCCAGATTCTTAGGGTTGTCTCGAATTGTTGGTTTCCTGGCATGGACACTGTGGGTTGAAAAGACAACGGATTTTATGTGTTTAATACACGCGTTCACAGCGCTGGCCTCTCAATTATAATTTGGTCAAAATCTTGCGCCACAACACTTTGACTGCGGCCTGACGACATCAATCGCACAAATCTTCGAAGTGCTCCATCCGCCCAGATCCATTGATGGGCGTGTTGTCCTTTTCATTGTCGTGTTGAGTCCGTGCTTTCCACCAGACTGGTCTGAGTCACGGTCCTGCGAGCGTGTCCAATGGCAGGAGGTGGAAGAAATTGCCGCACGCTTCGGCTTCGGCGAAGGATGTTCTGAGACCTTGAGCTTCTCGGATGAACCCACGAACTCGTAGTCGGGAAGTCTGTTGGCAAAGCGACGGAGTGGAGTGGAGAAGTGGGGAAGGACTTCCCCTCAAATAGTTCAACAGTCTGCATGTATCTACATGTAATATTCAGTTACATGGTTTTGCCAATGGCTTTCTTAGTTGTACATTGTTTCACCAATGGGCAGAAGATAGAGATTTCTCGGGAGTCCGAAACGTCTTCGCTATCCATTCTCGGGGTACCGAGCGACAAATGAGATCGGAGGTCAATGGTCATTTAAACATCTGAGGTCCCAAGCTCAAGTGTTGTGGAATCTGGTAGCTGACGGTGTGTGTCTGTAGCTGACGGCATATATGTGGTCCAGCACGATGGTCCAGCTCTGCTCAAGAGCCGACGAAACGGGCATTTCCACCGTGAATGGTGGGGAGGACATGGAAGGCCCCTATGAAAGTAACTGGGTCCAGCACCTATGAAACCCTTTCTGCCAACAGCCCGTAGAAAAACACATCAAGCATGTCCAATCATACTGGAGTAGATCAGGTAGCAGATATAGTCAAGACTATACTGAAAACAAATTGACACGCGTAGGGCCTTAGGGGCGTCAAAAAGGACTCTGTAACAGACTGGGGGGTGCCTTTGCTCTGCGATTTGAACACTGTGGGTGCCGAAGCGCTGCTGAGGCTTTGAAGAGTTCTGTCAAGTGGCCGGGAGGGTGGGCGGAGCGAGGGCAAGGTGAGCAGGAAATGAGGAGAGAAGATGTCCTCGCTGTCAACATCGTACCCCCGACAACTGGAGGGTCAGACATCTCCATATAGAGGAAACATGGACGACATAGTGGACATATAAACACCGGCAACCAGTGAGATGAAATATGCATAACAGTAATCACATAACATATAAACATCCTGGGTCATTGCTAGCTAGTAGGTTCCTTATACTATTAGGTTGGAGGCATCGCCACTAGGTTGGAGGCCATTGCTAGTAGGTTGGATGCCATTGCTAGTAGGTTCCTATGAATCACCTCTCATGTTGCTCCGCCCAATGGGGCACATCCAGGTCTTGCACGAAACCCCGAAAACGCGGGCGGCCCGACAAAGGTACCCGGTGGGGTCCAAACATGGATTGGGTTGAAAGAATGCAAAACATATGCCTGCAATCTCGTGAGAATTCAGTTTCAACACAACTTTGATAGAGATTCTGAGTGAACCTTTCAAAGCATGAACACCCACAAAAGTTATATTTTCCTGGTAGGTGTCTAAGTTGCACAATAATATGTAGTAATTATGGACACACATACTGACAAAATATGGGCTAGAGGATGCTAGAAAACCTGGTTCGAGGCATATAATATGGTATATTGGTACTATGTTGGTATAATATATGAATCATGAATCAGTACGAAAAGGATATGACATTATTTTTTTTTGTTATATCCTATCGAGGGAAACACATGGGTGAACATGCAGGTTCGAAAAAAAGAAGAAAATCAAAGGCCGTGTCACAGTAGTCAACAACAATAGCTGACGTGAATTTGTTTGGGTGTGTCAAGTAATTGTAGTTGTTTGTTGATTTTGTTGTGAGACAATTAACAAAGAACCGGGGACCTGGGCACCTGGGCTATGGCGCTGAGGTTCAAACGGACCAACCATCTCGTGCGTGTCGACAGAATGTCTCGAACGCTTGAGGCGGGTGAAGCGGAATCCGACCCCTACGTGGAGACCATGCAGGGCGTGGAGGCGGGGCGACGCCCGTGCGGATGCCGGTGAAGTGCAGTTCTTTTGAACATATCCGGCTGCAACGACGTATCGCCTTCATCACGGACCTCTTGGGTCTCAGTCGGACCTCTAGTTAATGAAACGCGCTTGGAGAAAGTTTGGGCTCACCCAGGCCTAGTCACCAACAGGCAAATCAAAACTAAACCGGTGCCATGGAAGTCATGGTCCTGGTGGACCCTGTGTCCACCGGAGCTGTGATGGCAGACATCGCGTCCTCTCGTGGTTTCAAAGTGCTGGTTCTTTGGAGTAAAATGTGCTCTCCAGGTTCTGGTCCAGGTGCCGTGATCCAAGGGACCTACGAAGCAGTGGAAGAGCAAGCGTCCATTCCAGCGACCATCAAGGCCATCAGAGATACTCTTCGTCGCGTTCCAAGCTCTGCAACAAAGATCAGCGCTTGCATCCCTGGCTTTGAAACCGGAGTGATGTTGTCGAACCTCGTCTCTTTGCACTTGGGCCTCCTACCCCATGGCTCGGGGAACGCGCCCTTCAAGGGCGGCGACCGTCAGAACAAGCACGTGCAGCAGAAGGCGCTGGAGAAGTTTGGATTGAGGACGGTTCGTGAAGTGTTTGGCTACACATGGGAAGATGTGGAGGATCGCTTGAGGAATTTGGGGCTTCCAATAGTGGTGAAACCGGTCCAGTCTGGTGGCAATGATGGAGTGAAACTTTGCCAGTCACTGCAAGAAGTAGAGGAACACTTTAGCCACCTGTGCAACACCAAAAGGAAACTACAATCCTCCAGCGCTGGGATTTTGCTCCAGGAATTTCTGGTTGGCCAGGAGTATATTGTTGATCATGTCTCACGGAATGGAGTGCACAAGACCGTAATGACTTGGGTCTCCGAGAGGCAAGCTGCAAATGGAGGGGACTTCGTCTACTTGGCCACGCGACCCCTCCAGGCCAAGGATTGTCCATCTGAGGTGATCTCATACGTTCGTGCAGTGCTTGATGCGTTGCAGATTCGCAATGGAGCAACTCATTCTGAGGTCAAGATGACTCCTCATGGCCCTTGCCTTGTAGAAGTGAACCTGCGCATGATGGGGGCCAACGGAGCGTATGTGTCGTTGGCACGGCTGCTCACGGGGACATCACATCCAGATGCAACTTTGGACTCTTTGAACCCGGAGCTTTTTGACGCACTCCCTGATGTTCCCAGAGACTTCAAGACTTCAGGTTTGATCGTATCTCTGGTGTCGTACTCATTTGGCATAGTGGCAAGCACACCTGGCTTTGACAGAATGAAGAAGCTGGCTTCATTTTTGGAATTGCATACTTCCATTTCATATGGATCTGCAGTCAAACCCAGCGTCGACGCTTTCACCATGGCCGGCTACTTGGTGCTGGCTGGTTCATGTGAGCAGATTCGGGAAGATGTTGCGCAAGTGCGACGCTTCGAAAAGGAAGGTTTGTTTTGCTTTGCAGATGAGAGACAAAGGTGTTTCTCTGGCGGGCCATAGCCGCCTAGCCAGTAAGCAATGCCTGAATCGAATCCACGCAAACTTTGCTGCTCAGATGCGCTTGTACAGCTTGTGCGCTGAAACCATTCCTTCCTCATGTTGATCCATCTTGATCCATTTTGTGTCAATGGCACCCAGCATGTTGGAGTCTTAGCCGCGTTGGGCTAGCTTTGCACCCTTGGACCGGAGAAAGAAAGAACATTTGGTTGAAGAGCAAGGGAAAATGCATCGAACATGGCCAATCTCATGCCAATCTCATGTCACATATCCCCACCAAAACATAGTGCAATGCTTCAGTGGTCGTTGTCCTTTTTGCACCCTTTTACCATCTTCATGACCTCCGTTGTACTTCTGAACAGTTCTTTGTGGGCACAAGGTCGCCCTGAAATCGCTACTGTAGGAGGGAGACTCCAAAGAAAACATTGGTTGAGGGGTATTCCATGGTACTCCCATTGTAAGATGAACAATATACATATCAAATCCTCCTGCCTGTATCCTCTACAGAATGCCACGGGTTGGGTACTGATATAAGGCATTTGTTTAATAGAGAAACTTGTCTTACATTCCCAGGTTTGGCATTTTTGTAGAGGAGACATTTCGGAGAATCTTGAAGATGCTGATTTGCAGGTTTGTGATTCTGTAGAGAAACATTGTCATTGGCATTTGATGTGGTTTTAACCTCGCCGGTTTGCATTTTGTAGAAAAACTTGCACCTTGTAGAGAAAGTTGTACCCACCTAACTGGCAGGGGGGATGATGAGGGATGCAGGGGGAAGGACGGACCTCTAATGTCTCGTTTGCTGTGTCTATGTAAAAGATGGTGAACAAACAGACTGGTCTGAAAGCGATAATATAGAAATTCAATACACAACACAAAATGGGTTGTCAGGTTGTTATTTGCCAATTTGCACCCTACCTGACTTGCAAAAGTGGTACCCTCTACAGAATGCATCACGCGCAGTTTCTGCATGTTTGTAACCACTTGTTCCCTTTTCGTATCTATCTCCTTCCAGAACCTTCTCATTTTGTGGAGAGTGGCCCTTGTGCGTGGGCATTTTGTAGAGACTCTGTTTTTTGCTTTGGATTACGAGTTTGTGATTCTGTAGACCTCTGGGAGCCACTTTTCGATTTATAACTACAGAATGCTTAGCACAACCTCACCTGGCAAACTCACAGGGGGATCATATCAACATACATATGTTGTTGATTTCTTGTTGTATTTCTTGCTTTGGGGTTCAAGCAATCAACGCCCGACCATCGCCCGCTTGGATTGGCACAGTCTCGCATGGCACGTGCAGGTGCCGCGGGAGGATCGCAGCGACCGGCAGCGCATCGAAGAGGTGCAGTTGGCCATCCAGGCGTTCCGTCAGCTGCTCGGCCCCATCAGCTGCGGTGGATTCGAGATGGGAACTTTCGACCTGCAGAGGAACATCGTTTTTTTGCTCACTGATCAGATGTTCATCCGTGGCCCCATTTCCATAGTCGGAATTGTTCCATACTGGGATGCCCATGATCTAGCATAACCCTGTTGTCCACAGGAGCAGATGATTTTGATGGATTGGCCTTTGGATGGTCCAAAGCTTCGGCCGCAGCTCGTTTGAGAAGGGTAGAGCGGCGATAACATCTCCCGCAACATTTTGCGCAGTCACACTGTCAAGCTCAGACCTGACCAGACCTGACCTTTGACGCTGCATAAATGTTCGTGATTTTTTGTTTAAAAGGTCCATCTTTGACCACACTGTCTCGAAACCCTCGAACGCAGCATCCAAGAAATTCTAAGAATTGTTGATCAAAAGTAAAACCGGAGCGCCCACAATCACCACGGCAGTACTGTTGAGGCAGCCTAGAATGATTACGGTACATCCACCAGTGTCGACAAGCAATCGAGATCTCCTTGCGGATGAAGTGCGCCTTTTGCAATGTCGGCTCTCGTGGCGACTTGCAGCCACTGGTGGCCTTGGCATTGGGATTTCAAGCCAAAGGTGCTCGTTTGTGAATCAAAACCCAACTTGGAGGATCTTCTCCCAAAGTGGTTGTCCGAAAGTGTTTTGAGTGCAAAGAAGTTGATGCTTTAAGTACTTGACATACTCGATGTGAGTGACTATCGGCTCGAATCTGGTTACATCAAAAAAGGTCTTTCCCAGACACATATTGTTTAGACAGCACATCCGTTTTCGTCCTTAATTTTTCCCTAAGCTAGGCAACTAGGCCCCAAGCTGGCAAGTGGTTTAACCCAACAGGATCCTGTTCGGCTTTTGTGTCCCTCCAGTCATGGGCGGCTTTTCCAGTCGCCCATGGCCGGGCTATGCTCGGGGAATCCGATGCGATGCTCGGTGTCGACACTGGGGTGGACATGGAAGGACCCCCATGGTGGTTGTTTTGGGTGTGGCTGGGTCTCCATTTTGGGTGTGGCTTGTTCTCCACCACAGAGATCACGGATCATCCAAAGGCAACTTGACACCTTTTTTTAACGGTGTTTTTCTCCTAGAACATGGGGGGTTTTGGCCTAGAACTGGGTCAACATCCAATTGGATCCAATTGGTAGCTCTCTTTGTAGGACAGATAAATATGGAATACACTATATCCATGTTGCATGCATTTTGCCTGTTTGTGATTAATAATTGTTTTGATGGTTTTATGCTGACTAGGAGGTGCTTCTCCCTGGAGGTTGGGATGTCGTCGTGATCTCAGAGGAGCGCAACCGAGCCTTGGCAGAATCCTTCAGCCTCAGCTTCCGTGCCATCGCGGGGGATTTGGCGGGCATCGTGTTCGAGGAGGAACACGCAGAGATGTTGGTCAAGGGGAGGTTGCTGAAGATGATTCAGGAGATGCGGAGGGTGGGGAGGGTCGCTGCAGACCGAGTCCATCATGAAAAACGCAGGAGCTGAAAAGCGGCCCACAACGGGCGGCGCGACATCCAAAACACGTAAGGGTCGAAAATGGAACCCTGAGGCCTAGAAGAGTTCCGCGAGATGCAGAGGAAACCTAGGAGTACACAAATACAACAAAATAGGATGAAAAAGGTTTGAGGCCCTTGGAGTTTTTTAGTTATGAAAGACATATCCAAATCGAAACCAAACATGGAAATCTGGGAACGTGCTTTAGGGCGAACCCTGAGTCGAAGACATAAAAACATGTGTTTGAACTGTTGGACTTTGGACGTGTGAGCAAGCGTATGTGTGTACAATAATGTTGTAATAATGTGAGTGACACCCTAAACAAATGTTATTTGCACGCACACCCACATAGTGCCAGTGCTTTGGGTGCCGTTGTGGTTTGTTTTCAACTGTCAGGAGATGGAGCGTCGGAAAAAGATGTCGTGGGATCAAGCATTGAAAGACTGGGTGGAGACGACCCGCGACGTGCAACTCATTGTGTCTGGCCCTCTCACCTGCAACGAAACCTATTCTTTGGCTGAAAAGCTGGGCGTGCCATGGGTCCCAGTGATGTTTGGGCCCTATTTCCCAACACGGGAGTTTCCGAACCCTTTTGTGATGGAGTCTAACTGGTTCAGCTGGTTGAACTTGTTCTCATTCAATTTCTTTTGCTGGGCCATGTGGCAGAAGCAATCCTCCGAGACCAATGCCTTCCGGGCAGAGTTGGGGCTGGAGCCTTTGCTTTGCCGGAGGGGCATGTTGAGTGTTGTGGAGGAGAAGGAGCTGCTAATGATTGGTGCTTTTCATGAAATCTTCATCCCGACTCAAAGGGTTCCGGCAGATTGGAAATCTCACATGTTAGTCCGGAACTTCCTCTTCGTTCCAAAAACGCCAGAGGATTCCTTGGATTTGGAGGTCCAGGAGTTTCTGGCCAAGTCTGAGGGCACTGGCGTCATCTACCTAGGTCTTGGTTCCATGCCCGCGCCGCCCAAGGATCTCATGGAGCTGGTGAGGAAGATTGTCCAAACACTTGAGGTGAAAGCTGTTTTGTGTGCAGGCTGGTCAGGTGTTACGAACTCAGAGTTGGAGGAGATTTTGGTGGTGAAATCCTGTCCGCATGATCTCCTCTTCCCGAAGTGCAAGGTCATCCTACATCATGCTGGGGTGGGAACCTGTGCAGCAGCACTACGTTCGGGAGTCCCAAGCGTTTGCCTTCCAGTGCTTATGGATCAGTTTTCAAATGCCAATCAGTTAGCCAAGCTGGGGGTGGCACCACCCTCCATCCCCTTCAGGAACGTGCCATCCTCCCATGGTGCAGTTCTTGAGGCTGTCAGATTTGCACTGGAATCTGTCGAGATGATGGCGAAAGCCCAAGAAATGTCTCGGAGACTGGAGGAGAGTGATGGGACAGCGCTATGTGTGGAGAAGATCCTGCAGACCTACTTTGAGTAAAAAAAGTACATGCACCATCATGCACCAGATGGCTTGTCTCAATAACAAAGGTGACCTCAACGCATGTCCATATACATCATTTGTAGCACATTCTCATGAACTAAATCCCTATGGCCATCCAGCCGATGTAATAGTAAGGGCTCCGCCCTGGTGCCGCCGACCCCCATTTTGGCCAAACGGATCCTTCCCACTCACATTCACCTTCGGGTAGCTAGAAGAGCGCTGGATTACCTCCCTGTGGATCCCCAGTCCTGTCTGAGAAAGGACCTGGGCTCCCGGACCGTTGTCACCAGGGGTCCATAGCCAAGTCCATTGTGAGACAAAGTTGGGAATATCAAAATCATTCAAAATCTAACAAATTGGCTAAGTTGGATACCTGAACCTCCATTCCAACCACCCATCGCCTCAATCCGCTGCATCTCGCACAACAGCGCTGCATTTTCCACACCATCCGTGGGGAAACTCAGCTGAACTCCGCGGAAGCGAGCTTGTTTGTCAGCCTCAGATATCACATGTGCAGCCCTAACAACATGTCGGGGAAGCTTCGGGAAACCTTTGGGTTCAAAAGACTATTTTGCACTTCTCAGCCAGGGGCCCAGTGAACCAACGCATGAGCGCAATATGCTCCAGTCCTTGCTTTTGCGATACTGCGCAGCACTGCTTAAGTCGCCCAATCCAATCCTCTGTATGGAAGGAGTGGTACTTGCGGCAATTCAGTCCTTGGCTGTTGGCTTGTACTGAGTCGTTAATCAACGTTGAAATTCCAACGGGGGGTTATATAAGCCTTGGCTCTGTCGATTGACTGTACCCGGAGCAGCTCTTGAAGACCCTGCAGGCATGAGTGTCACTCCAGGGGGCAGTCAAGAATTAAGCACAACATATGTGGCACCA